ATGAAGATAGAATCTGCAATCTAAAGTTAAAGGATGTTGCTGGCAGCTTTGACCCCCTTCCTTTAACCCCCTGTCAGTATTTTGACCGTATCTCATGAACCGTAACTCCGATTGATGCGATTAAAAATGATCTGAAAAGTAGATGAAATTTCGGACGTCTTAGGCAAAACATGCGATTACATCTCTATTCCATGCGATCGCATGGAGCCTTTCTGCGATAGCAGCTTGGATTCGAGGTTTTTTAGTACCAAAAATTCATCCGGAAGTAAAAAATGAAAACATGCGATCGCAGCTTCAGTATATGCGATCGCAGGTATCCCAAAAAGTGCCAAAATAGCATCCTACTTCATTAAAAAGGTCCGAGACGCGTTTTCTTCAAAACATGCAATCGCAACTTTGATACATGCGATCGCATGCGCGTCTTTTGTTGTTGGACGTATAAATAGACCCTCATAACCTTCCAGTAACCTAAGTTGGCGATTCCAGAGGTACCAGATGACGAAAATACGATTTTGGAGGCGTTTTTTCTCCGATTTCAACGATTTTTGAAGATCTGAGGACTGTGGATCATCTCCTTCAAGTAGATTAATAAGATTAGTTGTTTGATGTCTCTTTTCATTTGTTTTTATCATATTTTAGCCATGTCTGACTAAAACCTTAGTTTTCAGTTCTGCAAAGACAAGTACTTTTCATGTGATTGATCATTAGATCTGGTTGTTGATTTGTGTTTCTATCTAGATTCTTCAGTTTTGTTCTTAATGAATATTTGGTTGTAAATTCTTGTTAGTCTGATCACCTAATTAGGGTTTAATCCTTCATGTTAATCAGTCAATAGAATCCGTAATTGTTCTAATTAATTCGTAATAAGTAACAAGTAATTAATCGGTTCCGTGTTTGTGAGAAGTATTGGGTATTGCTGGGAATTTTACAAAGAACTTAATGCAATTTTTCTTATTTAATTAAGAGCTTATTTAATTAAACAGTAAAAAGTTAGGGTTAATTCGAAGAGCTTGTTTTGATTAACTAATTTAGGTAAAAGAGAAATTACTAAAGCTTGTTAATTTTTCTCAGTACCAGCTTAGATAGAACACATCTCAAATAACCAGGTCAATGTTGATTGCATGATTAGGAAAGTCACAGCAGAGCTGAAACCATTTTTATTATTGATTTTTGTTTAAATTTAATATCGCTGCAAATTTTAGTTTATTTAGTTTAATTCAAACCCACCCCCCCCCCCCTTTATATTTCTGTTTCTTGAATAGATTGTGTCTGATGCAAAAATGCATTGACCATTAGGTTGTGTCCCTGAGGATTCGACCCTGCTTCCTTGTGCTATATTTTTAGTGCAACCAGCAGTGATAAATTTATTTGCTTAATATACGCGCGACAGCGTGTTAACATCATGCTATAAGGAATAGTTCACAATGATATTACTCAAAAAAGTGTCACCTCAGCACCACGTCAATTTCATTACATTCTCACTATCACACCATTAAACATAATAAATACATTCTGATCCATCTCATCATTTCTATATATATAAGAGGAAGAATAGAGAGAGAGAGAGAGAGAGAGAGAGAGAGAGAGAGAAAGAGAGATAAAAAGATAAGTCTTTTCTCAATTTTGTAACCGAGCGTAAAGCCACTAATGCCACAACACACTTACTCCCTTCAGGAAATGGTATTCACAATGTGGTGGAGGTGTCACATCATCCTTACAGATGATTACTCCCACCCATACCTTTATTTCCTCATTAGTGACTCCGTACAAGTGACGTTTGTGGTTCCCATTGCTCGTTGTTAATGCCAATGGTAGTTAAAATTTTCATTATTCAAAAAATAGACAGAAAGAAATTGATATTGTTTTCGTCTTTCATTTGTAGAGGACGAAGCAAGATAAAGATGATAGTAGGTTTGTTTACAGTTACTAGTGGCGGATTCATTGAAAATGGCATAGTTGATTTTGGGGATAACGATGTGATCACGAGGTTTGAGACTGAAGGAGATTGAAGATAGGGAGAGAGTGTAGAGTTCTGATTGAGAGAAGAGACAAGGATCGATGACTGGAACTGAATCCAGAAGGATATCAAGACGGGTGGTGTGGCCGACCTCAGCGGTTTCAGAGGTGGCGGTGGGAGAGAACTACCATCGTCGCAAGAAAGATGTGGAACCGTCGACAATGGAAAACAAAGAGAGATAGCAGTTGGGAAGAATCACACCGAATTTTTGTCAATGGTTGGGAGAAGAGACCATGGCGGCAGGGATTGGCGGGAGGTGATGTAGCCAAGGTAGTGGCTCACGGCGGTGATGGGAGGTGAAGATTAGGAGGTCGTACGACTTGAGAAGGAAACATGGGTTAGGATTATGTCAAGACATTTAAATTTACATACTTGGTCATATAGTTTCTAAAATGGAAATTAAGTAATCTAAGCACAATTTAATGTGTATTTGAAAAAAATAACCAAATTTTTTTAGCAAAAACCACTTGGTCCGGAATCGGTATTCCAGACCAAGAAAAAACACTTTTTCTGACAAAAAAAGTACATTTCATACTGAATTTCGAATCAACATTCTAGATTCCGGACTGAAATTTCACACTTCATAAAAAATAGAAAAAATAAATAAATAAATAGCTCCGGGATTTTAAGAACGAGTTCGAAACCGATGTAAAATTCTGGAATTTTGAGAAAAAAAAATTATTTTTACTTAAATCTAACAAAAAGTTAAACAAACATAGTTAATGTGAAGTATATATGATATTAATACATAATATCAGACATTTTATTGAAAACAGTGACATTAAACACTTCGAAATGGAAATTTCTCACATAAGTGGAGATATTCTTTAAAAAAAATGGAAAAAGGGAAATAATGGGACTTTAATGCATTCAGGTCAGCAATAAAATCGGTAAACCAGGAAAAAATAGTCATATCGTCACTTTTACCAGCAATTCATGTTTCTTCTTAAATAAATTTTAGTTTGAAATTTATTCGTAAAATATGGTAAAATAATGAGACTTTAATAGAGATTTCTCTATATTTAATATTAAAAAAATAAAATGATTGACGAGGTGTGGTAAGACCATTTCCTATCAATTTTGTAGAGTGAGGGAAAGATGAAAGGAAAATAATATGACGCTACATGACATGCCAAAAATATGATAAAGTGAAATAACACACCTACCAAGCTTAATCTAAGCATGAGTGCATGACTTAGTACTTCAAATGGACAATCATTATATTTAGGACATCTAAGTCTTATATAGTATTCTAAGGTCAAGTGTGGTCGATTTGAGTGGGAATAGAATTTCCACCTACCCTTGGTAGAATCGTAATCAACAAAAGTTTATACTTAAGACCATACATTACTTAATTCTTAGCATTCTATTATAAAGCTTGTACTGTTATATTATTAAAGGAAGTTTGATTTATAAGATGGACAAAATTCCCCTAAAATTCATACATGCAGCCAAAAGCACAACTTTTTGGAAATGTTGTATTAAAAATGAATGCCCAAGATTTGTGCTCAAATTGCTACTAAAAATAATAAGGTTTTCATGAGATATACAAAAAAAAAATGATGGGCTTACATGTTATACAAAATGTTGGACTAATCTAAGAATGCTCAGTTGTTAACTTCCTACTAAACTTGAGTTTTAATATTATTTTAGACCCTTTCCTCTTCATTTTTGAAATATAATATAATGTTGGGCTCACATGTTATACAAAATGTTGGACTAATCTAAGAATGCTCAGTTGTTAACTTTCCTACTAAACTTGAGTTTTAATATTATTTTTGACCCTTTCCTCTTCATTTTTGAAATATAATATAATCCTAATTCAAATTATAAATTATAAGTTAATGTTAATAAGGTAATAACTCGACCACAAATTATGTTCAATTGCACATGATCTTGTCTTATGATCTTACTAATTATTATACACGTAACGACAAAAATATTTCTTTTAGTTATGAGAAGTTGCTTTCTTATGATAGTCTATAAATTTTTTTTCATGTGCACAAATAAAGGAGACAACTGTATAGTTTTATTTCGACTGATATCTTCTTGTTTACACAAATCCACAACTAAAGCAAAAAACATTATCCCTTGTATTTTAACATAAATACATAATTTCCTTGATGTGTAATTGTACTTGTAAATACTATTAAATAAGACCAATAAATCAAAATGATTATTATCAATATTATATATCAAAAATAAAAAATAAATATTTATAAAAGAAAAGAAAGTTAACAGCTTGACTTTTCCAACTCTTATTATAAAAGGTGGAAAATTATTGTTGACACGTCCCAATTAATTTTTAAAGTAACTTATTTTTCGAGTGTTTGTATGTTTATCAAACCAATGTAACTAATAAGCTAGATTTTTAATAAGCTAATGAGTCTGAACTTTTGTTTAAGTTTGTATGTTTATCAAACCAATGTAATTTATAAGCCAATGTAATTTTGTATGTTTATCAAACCAATGTAATTTAATAGCTACTGAGTCTGAACTTTTGTTTAAGTTTGTATGTTTATCAAACCAATGTAATTTATAAGCTAGATTTTTAATAAGCTAATGAGCCTAAGCTTTTGTTTAGGTTTGTATGTTTATCAAACCAATGTAATTTATAAGCTAGATTTTTAATAAGCTATTCAGCCTAAGCTTATTAAGTTTTTTAAAATTCTTCCAAATATATACATTTTATTAATAATGAAAAAACTCAACTTTTTACACTCTTTCATATATTTCGACTTATCTTATCAGTTAATTTTATCAAACGTAGATTTTTATCAGCTAATAACTAAATTTCCAGCCATCAGCTATCAACTAGTTTTTCAACTATCAGCTAACAACTAACTTTTCACCTAGTCTATCAAACAATCTTAATTTTAACCACCAAGACCAATCATCAACCAAAAAAAAAAACTTTATTTTTAAAAAAAAATTAACAATATTTAAGTCAAGATAGAATAAACCTAAAACATAGAAGGATGAAACGTTCTCGTACACCTACAAATCATTAACCGAATAATATTCTAATAAAAATATTTACAATATCCATATTACAAAACTTGATATAAAACTATCAAAAAAATGAAAAACAAATCTCACTCTCAACAATGATCTACCATATGAATCTTTGAATACCATGTTGATGATCCCAACGAAAGGGTCGAAACAAGAACATTGTCATAGTGAAAACATTGATGGATGTATATATTAATCCCATAAGTAACCACAATCTATCATTAGTGATACGACAATGAAGTATCAAGAAAAAGAAAGGTATTGTGTAGTATCTGAATTCTATCAATGGAGTAGGAATTAGACACGTGGCTGAAGCCAAGAAATAAACCAACACCCATACTTTCTTCTCAACTTTTCCTGCCAATAAAATACAATTTCATTTTGAGGTATGTTAATTTTTTTTAAATTTACAAATTTGACCCTTGAAGATATAGATAAAAACAAGTAGTTGAAGTGGAATACTGACCTAATAGAGTAAAGATAGAAGTCCATGAGTAAAGATATAAGGGAATGAGAAGGTATCTTGTTGACCAATGAGAATTTATAATTTTCCTCCATAGATAAAACGGATAATGCCGATTATCAGCAAGTAAATAAAGGTGAGCTATGCTGCAATGGTATTAAAAAAAAAAAATCATATTAATAAAAGGATTCATGTTATTGAGGTAGAAAAATAAAGAGACAAACCTGAAATAGTGAATGGATAGAAAGGTAATTATGGAAGCAAAAAAGCAAAGTAGGAAACTAAAAGGTTTATTCTTCCAAAAAGAGTTTGCCAAAATTGCAACTTGAGTTGTTGTAAAGTGTATAGGAGCCATAAAACAAGATGAAACTAAACCATAGTAGAATAATTGAGCAAAATGTGGAGAAACTGAATGAGCTTCTTTTGCCCCTACAAAAACAAAATAAAAGTATGAGAGAGAAGCACTTGTACTTTTCATCATTTTATAATTTTACTTTTTTTTCACTATTAAGGCTATGTTTGGTGTACTAGCTGATAGCTATTAAATCAAAGAGTAAATTACGAATGGTCCTTATGGTTTGGGGTAATTTTCACGTTTGGTCCCTAACTTATTTTTTTAACTCGGAAGGTCCCTACTGTTTATTTTTGTTGCACGCTTGGTCCCTGTCTTACATAAAAAGACTATTTTGCCCTTGATTTTTTAATTTATTTAAATAAACACACCCGCAACCCCACTTCCATCTCACATTACCTTACCTACCCCACCTTATTTCAATAAATTAAAAAATCAAGAGCAAAATAGTCTTTTTATGTAAGACAGGGACCAAACGCGCAACAAAAATAAACTGTAGGGACCTTCTGAGTTAAAAAAAATAAGTTAGGGACCAAACGTGAAAATCACCCCAAACCATAGGGACCATTCGTGTAATTTACTCTAAATCAAAAGCTAGCTGATAAAAAATGGTGTTTGGTAAAACTAGCTGAAAAGCTAGCCGAAAGATATAAAAATAACATAAAAGGGCATTTAAAAGAATGTGTTTCTATAACTATGTCAAGGGTATATGTGGAAATTTTTTTAAAAGCTCATAAAAAGCTAGTTTAAGTAGCTTTTTAAAAAGCTAGCTTATAAGTTTGCCAAACACAGCCTAAGACATGTATGGATAAGAGGACTGAATAAACCGTGTGCGTGAAATTAAATGACTATTTTACCCTTACATTTATCAATTTTAAGGTGAGAGTTAGAAATGGAACTGTGAATTACCAAGAACTATACTGCCATTCCAAACAACAAATGCAGCAAAAGCAAGCAACAATGCAAAAAAAGGGCTAAAAGAGACAAAAAGCTCAAACTTTAGATGCCAAGCTGCTAATAATATGCTCCAAATCTCACTAAATAAACCTGCATTATAAATATAGATATAATAAAAGAGGTTATTTTAAAGTCAGCTTAAAAAGATTTGTATAAGAAATCCATCATTTCTAATGTTAACGAGACAAAAATTGCAATTTTTCATCCCACTGTAAAAGGTGAGACAAAGAGTCTTTTTTTCGATCTCTTGTATGTGGAAAAAAGACGTAAACGCCCTTCCTCATCAACAAAATAGCCCTAAAATTGAATACACATTAGTGAATTTAAAAGGGTTAAATGCGCATTTATGCAACAACATTTCACCTTTTTATTTCACAATTGGGAAATTGTCAGAAAAGTCCCAATATTTTCGGAAAAGTTACACTTTAGTCCCAAGTTTATTTTTTTGAACATAAAAGTCCCGATTATTTGTAAAACACGATAATATGTCATTTCATGTTAAAAGAAAAAAAAAAAAAAGAAAAAAAAAAAAAGACTTTTTTGTTAATTTGAGCCAAAATGAAATAATTGGGACTTTCATATTCAAAAAAAAAAACTTGGGACTAAAGTGTAACTTTTCCAAAAATATTGGGACTTTTCTGACAATTTCCCTTCACAATTTTATGCAACAAAGTGGTTGTTCAAAATAAAAAAATTGCAGTCACCTTTCATTCTAGGACCAAAATATGCAACCAATTTTTATTTAATAAATGATTATTTACACAACAATGTTTCTCCTTTATGCAACTTTTACACGAATTATAAAATATTGCATCTTTTGGTCCTACAGCTTTGTTATATTTTGTATAAAAAAAACACTTTGTTGCATAAATTCAGAAAATTGTGAAACATGATTGCATTAATACGCATTTAGCCAATCTAAAATGTGCATTTATTCACAACATTTTACCTTTTTTCCAAATTATACAACAAACTGATTTTTAGACCAAAACATGCAACCACATATTATTCACTGAATTGAATATTTTGTGTAAAGAACCACTTTGTTGTATAAACTATGTTAAAAAGATGAAACATTATTGCATAAATGTGGATTTAATCGAATTTAAAATGAAAATAAAGATATGCAAACCTGTTGACTGATGAAGACTTTTTCCATGGATGGAATGTGTTGAAGTGTGAATAGCATTACCAGATCTTCTCCTTTTCAGATTAGAGTTGACTTTAACACTACTACTGGAAGCAAAATGACCAAATTGGGGCTCTGATAACAAATTCTTTTCATGTTTCTTTTTAGCTTCAATAAGATTTAGAATTCCAGAACATGCAACAAATAGCATCCAAATAATATTTGTTTGTCTTATAACTACAGAAATAGCTCCAAGCTGCATTGTAGTTAGTTGAAATTAGTTATTGCAAAAAAAAAAAAATGAAAAAATGTAAAGTATGTTAAGTAAATCTATTTGTAAACATGTAAAATAAAAGAAATTTGTATGTAAAGGTGCTGTTTTTTGGGCTAAATGCAAGAAATAGAAAACGTACTTCAATTTATTTGAGTTAGAGTAAATTACACAAATAGTCCCTATGGTTTGGGGTAATTCGCACGTTTGGTCCCTAACTTATTTTTTTAACTCGGAAGGTCCCTACAGTTTGTTTTTGTTGCGTGCTTGGTCCCTATCTTACCTAAAAAGACTATTTTGCCCTTGATTTTTTAATTTATTTAAATAAACACACCCTAACCCCACTTCCACCTCACCTTACCTTACCTTACCTACCCTACCTTATTTAAATAAATTAAAAAATCAAGGGCAAAATAATCTTTTTAGGTAAGACAGGGACCAAGCACGCAACAAAAACAAACTGTAGGGACCTTCCGAGTTAAAAAAAAATAAGTTAGGGACCAAACATGCAAATTACCCCAAACCATAGGGACCATTCGTGTAATTTACTCTTTGAGTTATAATGTCTTGCTTTCATTTTTTTACATTATAGAATTGTACTTTTCAGTTTTTTTTTTTTCTTATTAAGGTGTGGTACTTTGGAAAATCTACCAAATTATTGCATTGTAGTTTTCAGTTTTTTATTTACTAAAACAAGACTTTGAAAATTTTACCCAATTATAGCAGTAAAAATTGATTTGTATTTGAATGACATTGCTACAACTGGGCATATTTTTGGGTTAATCCAAAAAAAAAAAAACCCTTATATTTTGTGTTTTTGCAGGATTAAACCTCAAAAAAAATTGTCTGAAAAAAACCTTGTATTTTATCATTTTTCTCAATTTGGCCCTTCAAGTCATTTTTTGCCAAAAGAATTGAAAAATGTGAGGGTTTTTTCAACAAAAACTAAAAAAGTTGAGGGTTTATTTGGAAGCATTTAGAAGGTTGAAGGTTTTTTTCGGAAAAAAAAAATACAAAGTTGAGGGCTTTTTTGGGAAAAATGAAAAAATACAAGGTTTTTTTCAGGCAAAAGAAAATTTTGAGGTTTAATCCGGCAAAAACACAAAATATAAGGGTTTTTTTTACTAACCCCATATTTTTCATAAAAGTAAGATGATATAATAAACAAATCAAACAAAACTACATTGATATTTCTTGCATTTAACCTTTTTTTTTTACTTAAATAAGGACAGAAATTAATCCAGTAAGCTAAATATGGGTGTTCATTTCTTACCAAATGCAAAAAGAACAACTTACTAAAGAAAGTTAAGACCACAACCTTTTCCCCATTAAATTGTAACTTTTTACAAATTTACCCTTGTTTATTTTTTCCTACTATTTCCCCAAAACATATGTCCATACAACAATCATCAGGAAAAAAAAAAACTTTACCAATAGATAAAGATAATTAACCAAAAACAAATGGTAAAATAATTAAAGATAAAGCCAATTATTACCAAAGCACTGGAGATGTAGTTCTTCTTGAGACACATAAGATACATAGCAAGAACTACTGTGAGTGAAGCTACATCTGTATAATAAAGAAAACTGAAGAACCAATGAAGGGGATATAAGGCTAGAATAACTGCATACAGAGTTGCTTTTTTGTCATCAAGTGATGGATTTAAAGATTTTATTATATCATGAACCAAAATGCTGCAAATTACAGCTAGAAGACCATTGGTTGACCGAAGAATTGATATTGAACAGGAGTTTATAAAATTTGAGAGTGGTTGTATAAATAAGATGCCAGGAAATAAAGAAGCAATATATGTGAGTGAAATGAAGTACCTGAAACAAAAAAAAATATATATATTGTGTATTAAAAATAAGATTATCTAATTCTAACCAGAATCTTTTAAAGAGAAACTTACAATCCAGGAGGAGTGGTTATCATAGGATCCCAACTTTTAAAATTGCCTACACAATATTGTTGGACTTGAGGAACATGAAAGATCTCATCCTACATTAACATTCCAATTTTACCAAATTAACATAAAAAAATTGCAACTTTTGTCCCATTGAACTTGTGTAAATAAATTTATAAATTTTATGATCATATTACCATGTAGGGTTCAGGAACAATTGAATTGACAAGAATGGAAATGGGTATGACCCATGAGCTAACAATCAATGCAACTGTAATTCTGCCCATTTTTTCTCACTCTTTCTTGTGGGGATTGCTTTGAATTGGATCCTACTTCAACTGAAAAAGGGGGAAATTACAACTTACAAGGGCATACAATATGTAAAACGAGATTGAAGAATATATAGATCAAAGTATACTATGAAATTAAGGTTAAGACAAATAGTCTTCAAATACAGTACCCAATGGCAACTCATGTCGTCAAAACCTATAACAAATCCTACATTCCAAATCGAAATGGATGAGAAAGTGTAGAAATTCGTCAATTATAGTGTGGATCAACACGTACAAACATATAGAGAGAAAGAGAGGGAGAGAGAGAATTAATACCATGGGGAGAGTAAGCAAACTAAGCTCTGTAAGTGCAGATGTGATTGCCTGCGTTAATCGCACACTTTTAAACTCTGTCGGGAAGAAGCCCTATATTTCTCTTTCCTGACATTCTTCCTCTTGCAATCTGTAAGCAAAATCTAACACAAATTAAACGTTTTACTCAAGCACGTTGTGATGTGGGCAAATTTTAACAAAAATTACGCAAATGAATAGACCATTTGAACCGTTTTAAATGTGTTCTCACACGCACAGTTGGAAAAATATGATTGGTGGGCAAGACCACCGATTAACAACCATTAAGAAAGCTGATTTTGATAATTAGGGTTTATAAGCCATGAAGTTACCTGAGAAGATGGATGCGCCGGCGATTTGCAGAGAAGACTAAATGTAACGATGAAGAACTGGGAAACAGACAAGATAACGAGCAGTCCAACGAAGTTTGATGCAGACAGAGAACTGAGAAGTGAATCGGAGAAGTCGATGAAACAGAGAAAATGTGGGTGAAAAGGCTGTAAATCAGTAAAGCCTTAAAAACGGACTTCATAAACCCTCCTAATCCAATATCAATCCCAATGAGACTTGGGGGTTGTTTCCACTTCGCCATGATCGTTTGTTTTTTGAAAGTGCCCCATCAAATACGGTCTTTTTGGCACTATCTTCAAAGGTCTTCAGACCTCATTTTAATCCAAACCAAAAAAAGAAAAAAAAATGGGCCACCGTGTATTTTTTTTTTTTTTTTTTTTTTTTTTTTTTTCTGAAAATGCATTTTTAATATTTATTATATGAAATTAAGTTTGAAAAATCAATCTTGCAGACGTTAAAAACAAACAGTCTTCTTATTGCAGACTGCAGACATTTGGTCCACCTCTTCTGCCGCAGAGGCTTGCAGATATGGTCCGCTGACTGCAGACATTTTGGCTTCAAAAAACAAACAGCACCTTAGGTCAGAGGGAGTGGTAACACTCCTAACACCTTGTCATATCACTTTTTTGCTTGTCACATCATCTTTTTATCTTAACACCTAAATTTTAGCATTTTATAAGGAGTGGTAACACTCCTAGCACACCAATTTTTTTTCAAAATTAATTAAATTATATCTTTCTAAATAATTTTTTTAAACCACAAACAATTAATATCAAATAAATTATATTTTTTAGAACACAACATTTCATATTAAATTAAAAAAATTACAATAAAATTTTGCAGGGGGGTTTATGCCAATTCTAGAAATTTATGTTGTAAAAAAAGTTGTAAGTTAGAGTCGAATCTATCATAAAGCTAAAATCGAGGGACCAAAACTGCCAAATTGTGAAATCTATGTCATCTTCCTGTTTGCTACTCACGACAAATTGATAATATTTCTCTTTTTTTTAACCTGTAAATTTCAATTTCATGGAAAAAAAACTCATTTGCCAATCATATTGTTCCATTTCTTTCTCTCTCCTCTCGCTAGACCCTTGGCGAACTCCTGCTAACGAGTTTCATAGCGAATATTGAGGAGTGGTGTAGATCTCTTGACGAGGCTGTTGGTGAGAGGGGTGGCGAGGCCACTCCCTCCAGCCTTAGGCTAGGTTCATAGATTGATAGATTCCTTCCGAAAAGGTGAAAGTTTTCTGATTTGGAAAGAACCATTTGTTTGATTGTATATCTGATTTATACATCTGATTTACTGTGCTGAATGATGAAAAATAACAATATTATCTTGTTGTTCTATATTGTGATGAATGAAATTGCTGAATAATTATAAAAACATACAAATTGTCATACAAAATCAAAATTACACAATAATCATTTAAAAATCCAAATAGAATGTCGATTAAGTTGTTTTTAATTTTTTTTTCAAGTTAATGTTAAGTCGTTATTCTTTCTAGCAATTTAAAAAAAAAATTATATAACTTAACATATGATTCTTGACTCGGTTTATATACGATAGTGGTGGGATAGATGATTTTTTTTCAAAATATTTTAAGATGATGGTAGTGTTGTCCAAAAAAAAGAACTAATTCAATAAAAATGAATTAAAAAAATTAACTAAAAAAATTAATAATCGAACAAAGTAATATTTATTAATATATAAATATTATATATTTATAAATAATATTTTTTGATATATAATAATCCAATAAAAAGAATTAATCTATTAAAAAGAAATAAAAAAGAATTATTTAAAAGAAATTAATAATCCAATAAAATAATATTAATTAATACATAAAGATTATATATTAAAAAATAATATTTATTAATATATAATAATTCAATAAAAAAGAAATTAAAAAAAATATTTAAAAGAAATTAATAATGCAAGAAAGAAAGTGGCAGAGTTTTTGGGCACAATTGTCTTTCCAGCATATTCAGCAGGAAATATATGGTTTTAGAGCTTTCAAGGAAAGACATATCTTACTGGGAAATACCTATTTTTTTGTGCATAACAGTCTTTCCGGTCCATTCAGTCAAAAAGATCTGTTTGGACCTGGAAAGATGTCTATCAAACGGGGTCTTAGTGAGTGTTTGGGATAACTTTTTAACATATCTTATTAGCTTTTTGTAACGACGTAAATTTTAAAACAATTTTGCATTTTCAAACATAATAAAACTCATATAATATTCTCAAAAAAATCTCATGTATCAATGTCATCACAATAAAACATATCCCAGAATCTCAAAACATAATCATCTGCCAATGTGTACAAATCATGTTGTCGCCTTCCCGCGATCCTCGTTGGTACCTGAAACACATATCACATAACACGGTAAGCATAAATGCTTAGTGAGTTCCCCAAAATACCACATACAACATATTAGCCACTCGAGGCTATAACTCTGTAAGACCTTTCGGCCAATGTGTCTCAGTGGACCTTCCGGTCCCACAACTCTGGTAGACCTTCCGGTCCTACCATGATGACCTTCCGGCCCTAACTCTGTAGACCTTCCGGTCCTACTATGTCGACCTTCCGGTCCAAACTCTGTTGACCTTCCGGTCCAAACTCTGCAAGCTCATGACATAGCATAAACGTATCACATAGATAACATACATCAAACTCTGTTGACCTTCCGGTCCAAACTCTACAAGCTCAGGACGTAGCATATACATATCACATAGATAACATACATCTCATAACCCTTATAACCACATAAGACCTTCTGGACACACATAATTACCACTCTAGGTAAAGTATAGTGAGAAGACTCACCTCGATGATGTCTAGTAAACTCTCGTGCTCGATATCCCCGATCTAGCCTCCGCCTATCAAAATGATAATATCTCTAATCAATACTCTCTTCATATCCTCATCTCTAAAGAATGGGTAGAAGACCATTCTACCCCTCCATGGCCTCTCTTGAATCAATTTGACCAAACCCTGAGGTCAACTGAAGTCAACTCCAGTCAACGGTCCAACTTTGACCAGACTCGCCGAGTGCACTCAGGTGACTCGGCGAGTCCATGCGTGTCCTCAGACTCCTCCTAAGGCCTCACTCGACTCGTCGAGTTAACCTCTCACTCGACGGGTTTCCACTGATCACGAATCGTGGGGCAACACGATCCAACTCGTCGATTCCTCTCATGGACTCGGCGAGTTTTCCTCCATGGCAACACTCATTTGACCTTCTGAGGTCAGATCTGTTTCTCTAACTTATAGATCTGGCCTTCTAGCACCCAAAAGTCACGTAAAGGTCCGATCTTGATGTCCATGCATGGCATATTTCGCTCAATATGCCATTTAGACTCCATTAAAGCTTTTTAACCTCCAAACCCCATGGTTGCACAACAATGGCTTTCTACTTTCTGACTTTCTGGACCTTACAAGGTCCAGATCTATGCTACCAGCTCACAAGAGGGGTTTGATGCAATCAAAACCCACCAAGAAGATAATACAAGCCCTAATCCTCAAAAGGAAGATATACACAATTAGGGAAGAAAAGGGGTCCGAATTGATACCTGTAACTGATGCTCCCAGGTTATAAATCGCGGATCTACAACTCCTCTGTCCCCTTTAGCTTGAAACCTCCTTCTTCCCTGCAAACCATCCATCAAAGAAGCTCAAATGGCTCACTCTCTTGCCCAAAACACTAAGGACTCGATTAGGGTTCTCTCTCCTGAAAGGTAGCCGCAATAGGAGGCCTTAAGAGCCTTTAAATAGGCCCAGGCCCGAGAGAATTAGGGTTTCTGTCAACAGCGCTGACTCGACGAGTCATCTCTCCGACTCGTCGAGTCCATTCATTAACCACGTCACCAAGTCGCGACCCTACTCGACGAGTTGAGGCACCGACTCGTCGAGTCCCTCCAAAGTCCTTTAATTAAATACTCAAAACAATATACCTGGTAAATCGGATGTTACAATTCTCCCCCACTTGAATTAGATTTCGCCCTCGAAATCGCTTCTCAACAACATATAGATCTAATCCAATAACCGAACAGCACCATCGAAAGGATCTCATACCACACAACTATCTTCCTCTCTGGGCACCTGAATCCAAACACGAACTCCCCCCCCCCCCTAGAAAAAGCACAGACCCACTGCCACTACGCTACCCCTCCTGACTCTTAAGGATCTGGAAACTGTTGGATTAATGTCTAAGTCCATAACTATAATTGGTATGTACTTGACCCGACTTGGCATGGTCCATTTGGGTTGCACTTCACCGGAACAATTTATATGGATAGTCTTTTGAGAATAATATGTTTTATGATTTATATTAATATATTATAAGTTCTAATTTATTAATATGGAATCATATTATTTAATTAGTATTGATCAAGAATTAATTTAGAATTAATTAAGTGATCAAAAAGAACTAATTAAATATGGACTCTTATATATATGGAATGGGCCAAGTTCATTTAGGTTGGGCTAAGCTTTCATGGATGGTCCATGGAGCTTTTAACCCATGGATCCTATGTAAATGAAAGGTCATGGGCATTAGGGTTTACATGGATGTAACCCTAATCATCCATAATATATAAAGGGGTCCTTGACTCACAAAATTGGCACAAGTGTATGAAAAAAAGTGTGGGCCGATTTTAGTGAGCATACATATTCTCTCAAGTTCTTCCAAGGTGTTTTGGTGATTTGTGATTCTACTTGAGACTTCCACACTATTGGGGCTAAGCTCTTAAAGTTCAAGACTTCAAGCAACATCAAAGGTATGTCATCTAACTAGAACTTTGTAGTATAGTTGCTTCATAATATGCTAGTTAGGATGAAACCTTGGAATATTGATTATTTGCATGTATAATAGAGAAAACATAGATCCAAGGTTTATAGGGTTGCATGTACACCATAGGAGTGTTAGAATGCTCAAAACCCAACAGTGGTATCAGAACCATGGGTTGTTTTCTGTTATATTGATGCAAATGTTTTATTTTCAAAGTTGGAAAAAAAAAGAAAAAAAACATGACGTTTGTCAAATTTTAAGATAATTACTTGTTTTTGTGAAAACTAATTATTTGTAAAATTTGAATCATTTGCTATATGAGTTGAATTAGGTCAAATTTAGTAAAAGATAAAATGATATGATTATTTTATTAGTTTTAAAAGTTTGATCTAAAGAGTTTTTTGAAACCTCTATAAGTTATGGATATGAAAAGGTTTTCAAAAAATTGATTCAAAGTTTTTTATGGAGTTACAAAACTTTGTCTTAATGTTTT